AGATAAACCTTTCATTTTTGCGATTAACATCTAAGAAACACACACCTGTTTCTCATTTTAATTCCAGGTTTACCGTCCCAGTTGTTCCTCCGCCAGCTTGCATTTTTGTCCAAGAAACCACTCGTGTATACCCAAGGCAGAAAAGTGTGTTAGCACCAGTCTCTTCAGCTGCCCGGCAAACAGCATCTGCATGGGGTCTGGGGGATGCTTGTCTACATGTCAAATACAGAACGTTTCGTTCTCTTTCAGTTCGTCTCCTCCGGCAGACTACGTCATTGTTGCAGGTACGTTATAGGGTTATGTCACACGTGGTAAAACAGCATCTTTGCGTGACATTTTGCGTGACAACTGACGTTTGAAGTGGTATCAAACTGGCGCAAGATTTGTCTCCCAAATATTTCGACTCCAAGGTCACTCAGTCAAATCGCTTAACAACAAGGTGTGAAAAAGGCTTCCTAACAGAGCTAACCATCATCTGTTTGCTTGCAGAGACTCATCTAAATATCGAAAAACTCGGTAAAAATCTCATCGTGTCCGCACCCGAGAATGCCACTAAAGTGCAAGCCGGTGACGTCATTGGTTGGGCGGGTGACATCTCCTCTGGAGCACTGGCGTTTGAACAAACGACCAACGATCCTTCGTTCTTTTATTCCGGCTCAAAGTTCAACCTTTCTGTGGGAGACTTTTTGGCTGCTTCAGGGGGAGCTACTCCGTATGATATCAAACATGTGTTACGAGCTCATGTTTCCCAGCCCTCGCAGGCAGCTGTTAATGTGAGTTTTATTGGAGCAGGCATTCACAAAGTGACTACTGGCGTAGAAAACGAGGCTGTAAATGTACTGCAGACTTGTGAGGTGTCCGTCCAGGTACCGTCTTAATCTACTTTAATTTACTTTGGTTTTATTGATCACAATGGTCAGTTGCACTGATCAGAAGTGGGCGTTAGTTGAAAACGAAAGTCCTCTTAAAAAATGGCTCATTTTGACTTTCTTGAGCCGCGAAATAATTTCCTTTGGGCTTTTTTGTAAAAAACAGAGTACCGTGTGGGTTTGTTTAGTTTGCGAAAGTAAACTAAATTGGACTTGTTTGAAACGTTACAAAGGCCCGTGACAAACTGGTACCTTCTTGTACCTTTTCGTCAACACAGTACTATCCAATTGTTCCTTTCCGATACGCCTTAAAGTACCTTTTGGCGAAATGGTAGGTAAATAGGAATTTCTGTTAGTTGAACGATTTGGTAGGTACCAACACAGACGACCCGCTTTTTGGTAAACCTTGCCTGCATATCAAGCGAATTTGGTCTTGCCAAGGTTCGTATTTGTGCAAGAGGTAGTTGGTATGATCAGGTATTTATTGTACCTAAATTCAACCATCAGGTCAGTGACTCACAGGCGGGCAGGATGTCATGTCAGTAGACACGGCTTCCGATTGGTTAACTGGGAATATGGGTACGGTAAAACCGAGGGCGTGAGTAGCAGAGCTTGGGAAAAGCTATAAGTGAGATACATCCTACAAGGTCATGATTATTTTCCGCTTTGCATTTCTTCTAGGAGCGCATCGAAAATCTCAAAATAATGACACCATTCACAAACGTGAGCTATGCAACAGGGCAGAAAATCCGCCTACAGAGCGCCACAGACAAAGGAAGCAATGTGAGCTACGTATGGACAACGAAAGGAACAAGTTATCCCCTGGAAAACCCTGAAGTAGTCTACGATCACATTGGTGAGAGTACAAAAAAAAAAAAAATTCATAGTCGTGAATAGATCCGGGGGGGACTCCCATATAAAAAGGGCGGGGTGGTCGCCGGAAATTTTGAAACGAATCCCTAAGAGGTACCAAGATCTTGTTTTGAGGGCGTGGCTTTACCCCTGAGAGGAACCAAATCTAAAACAACACATTATCTCCTGTCATATTTTTTCGGTTCAATAGCCTCAAGGGTACACCATAAGCTCCCGCTGTGGACCTTTTGAGGCTGAAAACCCTAAGAGGCACCAAAACCGCTTTTTTAACCCCTAAAAGGTGCGACGAGCATCCCTACCGGGGGATAGATCCTTCTTTTAAACAGTAACATTGCTATTTCAATGCAAGGTGCGTTTTTCTAAAAGCGTGTTTGATTTATCGTTTTATTGTGAGTGATATTCCATTGCAGGTTTCTTTCCAATTTCTGTCCACGCCAGCAACAACATAAGCTCGGCGTTCGCCGCTTTAGTAATAAGGATACTCAAGCCAGCGTCATTAGCATGGAGGGAGAGACCACCGTCGGAGATTAACGTGGACCAAACATTTAATTTAACGGTCGTCGTAAACGGAACAAACGTTACGATAACCGTAGACTTTGGTGACGGGTCACCGGCTTACGAGGCCTTCTACGAGTCAGCTGAAAACACTCCTATTAACGTTTCACATAGGTGAGTGAAAACTTTCTCTTTTTAACGAGAATAGATGTTTTTACATTTCAGACATTTCAGTTAGCTTGAAAGTTTAGATTTTGCAAACTTGTGACACTTGGCAGCGGCAGTTTTGGCGGGAAAAGCGCTCAAGCTTGCAACCGGAGTCTAACGCTGTAAACTTGAAATGTCGATTCGCGATTGGTTTTTCATGTTGCTCCTCACTGATTGGTTGAAAATCAAAATTACCAATCTCATTGGTTAGAGCATTTAGGTGTAATGTTCACGAAACGCGAAAGGAATTAAAACTGAAGAAACTGCCGGGGGGTACTCCCTTGTAAGGGCTATATAGGTATGTGCGGCCCCAAAGGGCGTGGTTCTTTAGACGTTTTGGTAAGAAATAGGGGAAGGATTTTAGGAGGCCGCCCGCACACTCCCACCCAATCTTTCTGGGAGTATCCCCTTCGGGAGAAACTGCTCTCGACAATTTATGAAAACGTCTCTGCAAACCTCCGTACAGCATCAGAACAACTGATTAAGTTGTGATTTCCTTTTTTCTTAGTTACACTAAGTACGGAAAGAAGATTGGTTCTATCAAGGCAAAGAACAACATATCAACATCTCCATTGCCATTACAATTTACTGTTCAAGTCATGGGTGAAATAGGTGAGATTTTGATACAGCTTCACCCTGCACCAACCGTCGAGAAAGTGTTAAAAATTGCTACTAAACAACAGTTCGAAATCGGTATATCTGTCTCTGTTAGGCAGGCAGTGAACTACACGTTTGATTTTGGGGAAGACTCATTATCTACGGACGTCGTCACCGACGATGGCGACACGAAGGTAACACACACGTACGACAAGGAAGGTGAATATAACATCACGATAACAGCACGTGTGTTTGAGTACAAAGAAGAAAGGTTTGTTCACGTAACAGCCCGGCCGTGTGGTCCACCAGCGATATATTTTCCTAACAGCTACACAGAAAAAGACCCTCAAATTATCACCAGAGGGACTGAAATTGATTTCTTGAAAATCCGCGTAGAGAAGCCAACGGAGTGCTCCCAGGAATTAGTAGATCCTAAATATTTGTGGAATATCTCTCCCTCGCCAGTTCAACCAATTTCCAAGGCTGATATGGAGGGGGCGTCCTTCGAACTAGAACCGAGGCGTCTGGATAGCGGAAACTACTCTGTCACGCTAAACATTAGCTACAATGACACAAAAATCACTCAGACTGAGGAGAAATACTGGTTTAACACTCACCTTAGAGTCGTAAGCTCTCAACTCGTGGCTTCAATCAGCGGGGGCAGTGCTCTAGAAATTGATTCAAGCACAAAGACCTCACTGAAACTCGACGCGTCGAATTCTTTTGACCCGGACAACCGTGACGGTAAATTGAACTTCGATTGGATGTGCAGGTTTGAGCACAATTCAGTGCTGGCAGTTCCAGATGAACTTTGCAATTCGACCGTGTTCGTCAAACCTCCTGGTGTCGGCGATCAGGGCATCGTGACGCTCCGTGTAAACAGATTTCGGGAAAATGTCACGTACGTCTTCAAGGTGACAGTGAGTGAAGGCTCGCGATCCGAATCAGCAGAGCAACGTGTGAAGTTTCTCCCAAACATTCCGTCTTTAGAGATAAGGTAAGTGTTTTTCTTACATGAAAAGTGTAGCTGCTGCTGAGTTATTTTCTTAAGTTACTTTCTAAAGTTAATCAGTACACAGCCCATAACCAATTTTTTTCTGTATTTTTTTTTTCGTGTGTGTGCGTGACGTGTTTGCTTTACACTTGTATACATTTATGTTTGTCCTTTTCTTCTCTTTTTCAAACTATTTTTCCCTCATGGCCCAGCCACTAAGCACGGCAAACATTTGCTATTTCTACGTGGTGTACTCTCTCTATCCCAAATATTAAACCAGGATTTAATTTCTTTTTCTTAGAGCGGTTTTCATTAGAGTGTCGAAAATTAAAGTACCAGTAATTGGTTTTGCATCAAGTACGCCTCGCTACACGTTTCGCTTAGGGCCCAATAACTGATCTTTTCGATCCGTGGCTAAGGAAAAGTTATTCTCATATAACCTCATCATTTTTAGTTAATTCACAGTTATTTTATGTGTTGTAACTTTTTCATGATCAGTAACACCAGTGATGAAGTCATCAGGCCACGCCCTTGGTCATGTGACTAATACTAAAAAAATGCAAAGGCTCACAGGCAAATTACTTTATCGGGACTTTTTTCATTGATTTAATATTTTAATTTAAATCCTCATTACGCTATGCATAAATTTTGTTTCATTTTTTAAATGTCAGATTTTGAGAGAATTTCAAAATATTGAAATATTCGTTATTTTCTTTNCCCCATGTTCGTCACGTGGTTAACGTTAGAAAAACGAGTAACTCTGGGGAGAGAATGTGTGAAGTGTTGTTTGCTTTCGTTACGCAACGCTTCTTGTCAGAGTAACGCCTTTATAATGTTGATTTTTGGTATAACACTTCCGCCTATTTTTCTTTTAGACCTAAAAGCGGCGAAGCTGTGAAGACCTTGTTCAAAATAGGATGTGAAAACTGGGTAACTAAGGACAACCCTATATCATACAAATTTCGCTATCAAGTGAAAATAACGAACTTGGCGGAGATAAATACGCTATCAACAGAATCTCAAGTGTACCAGCTGTGGTATTTTGGCGAGAGAATGACTCCGTCAAGATTTCTTCCTATAGGAGACCCGCAGAATGACTTTAAGCTCAATCTCTCCGCTCGCATTTGCAACAAGTATGAGTGTTGTGTCGACGTTTTTCTAGACGCCACGGTGAGATGATTCACAAGTTGCGCTGTCTTAAAGGGCCCTAGTCAGCCACACCTTCGTTTTAGTTTTACATATGAGAGTTTGGCTATGACATTTTATTTGTCGAAACGGAGGAAATCACTGTGAAACTACTAAAGATGATTTAACGTACTTTCAGAAACACAACTTACAGAAATGCAATAAGATTTCGCCTCACCATGCAATATCAATAATTTCGACGGCATCGAAAATGGCGGGGGCTGATTAGGGTCTTTTTAGAAGTTGAGTTTTAATGAGAATTGTAAGTGGGGGGTTGTAAGGGGGCAACCTCGTCCCTCGTCCGTAGGGCCCCTCTCCTTCCCGAGAGGGTGTGGATCTCAGGAGAGAGACAAGAAGGTGGAGTTGTAAGTGATGAGAGTTGTAAGTGGGCGGCTGTAAGGGGGCAACCTCATCCCTCGTCCTTAGGGTCCCTCTCCTTCCTGGGAGGGTCTGGATCTCAGGAGAGAGACAAGAACACGAAGTTGTATTCTCGCGCGACTCTCTATTGTTTGGCGTGTGTGAAAAAGCGCCAAAAGGGCAAATTCGTCGTAATGCTTTTGTCTTTAAATTTATGACTTATTGAGGACCACCTTGTGTAGCAAAACGAACAATATCACTTGGGAGTACTGCTCGATAGCTTTTATATGAATGGTCACACGTAAGGCGCAGACTTCAAAGTTAGAACGATATTGTACAGCATGAAGAGTAGCACTACATGAAAGTACTGCTCAATAGCTTTCATTTGAATTGTCATACACTGGGGTTTCATCCATAGACTTCGATGTTAGAACCACGTTGTACCGTATAAAAAACATTACCACATGAAAGTACTGCTCAATAGCTTTCATTTGAATGGTCACGCACTAGAGTTTCATCCACAGACTTGAAAGTTAGAACCACCTTGCACAGCATAATAAACAGTACCACATGAAAGTACTGCTCAATAGCTTTCATTTGAATGGTCGCACATTAGGGTTCAAGCTATTAAAAATTAGCCTGTGAAAAGAAATTCAATATGAGCCCTGATATCAACATTCAAATACTCTATTAACTTCTTACTGTACTCGTCAAGAGGAAACAATTCCCACTGCATAGCTATCATTTGCTTAATTCTCATGCATACTGTTTGAAATTGCAAAGAGAAAATAGAAGCTGATCACTGTACATTTCTCTCATGCAGGTGAAAAAAGGAGAAGATCAGGAAGTAAGTGGTGAAAGCATTGGAAAAGAACTGGACAAAGTAGATGCTAAGAAAGACCCTCAAAAAGTTGTTCAGCTTGTAAACTCTGTCACGTCAATCATTAACTACGGCAACCAATCAGATACCGGAACGCGTGAAGAAAGAACCAAGGTAAACACGTGTGGCGCATTGTCGGTGACACATTCAATGGGAGTAATTAATGGGGGATTTATTTTAAAGGGGGAAGGGATAGGGGAGGTTGACAGGGTAAGGGGACTAAGAGCAGGGTCGAGCAGGGTGACGGCTTGCCTCAAGAGTCAGTGTGCAGAAATATACATCTTGGGTTTTTTTTGGTTGACGTTTTTAAAATGTTAAAATTTAAATTCTTTAAATCCTCGTTAAAACGTTCTCTCGTCATTGGATCTCGATTCGACGATGATCCTTGTGATAACAATGTTGATTGGCGTCTTAACTTACGAAACTCTTGGACAAATCAGTTTAAGCTCCTCTAGATGTATGCACACGCCAAGAGCATGGTCAGCATTTCAAAGAGAAAGCATGTGACCGATATCAAGCGCGGGGAAAAAACGACACTCCAAACGCGCGTGCTTCATCGCATTTCGTTCCAACACACCCTTCACATACACTCGGCGGACATGCTTTTAACGAGTACTTCTTCTCCCTGAGAGAGATCGTGTTAGCCTACATGTTGATTCAAATTCATAAATACAAATAATGTACAAAAATTCGAAAAGGAAGTTTAGTGGTTAACCCTGTTAATCAAATTCCCCAAAAGTCTTTCCTTGTCTATTTGTTTTTTGTCTATTCGTGCATTGAGTTTTGCTCGTTCACCAAAATTTAAGTGGAACAGGCCTTGAGTACACAGCAAGCGAATAAGAAGTCTCTCCCTCAGCCAGTAAATAATGCGTTTAGATATACTTCAACACATGTTTCTTTTCTTTCAGATTCGCTCAGAGTTGGTCAATAAATTAACGGGCGTCGATTTAACCGACACCACTCAAGCTCAGCAGACGGTCGGTGCCTTGATAGAAGCCACTAAACACAAAACAGAATTGACGCCAAAAACTCAAGTAAGCAGTTTCAACTTCATTTTCCCTGTTCTCTTTCCAAATAATGAAGACTCTTAGAGTGAGTAGCGGTTTTGTTGTTTGGGTGGAGGAAGAAAACAACGCATACACATTTGAACCTCTTTAATCCATCGCGACGTTTCTATCAAAAGATTGATACACCGCGATGTAAATGTAAATGCAAATTCAATGTCAAACGCAGGGAGTGCTTGCGCAATCACCCGAACCAGAGGTTCATGATAAAGTGCTTGACCGCAATCTTGAAAAGAGCATTCTCAGAGCTTTCTAAGACGACAGCTGGTCAGTACCGGACCACCACCGCCACCGTAACGTATAAGTGGGTTTATTTTTTTGTCCGGTGAGGCCCAGAAACGAGAAATAGACACGAGAAAATAACCTAAACCAGGATTATTGTATGCAGGAACTTGAAGCAAATAATTGCATTTTGTATTATTCATATTTTAGTGTAGATATTTTCGTCTTCTCAGTTTTGTATTTTGTAGTCTGTGTCTCCTTATTAGTATGGGTTTCTCTCAGGCTTCATGTTCAGAAACCTTAATAAAGTTTTATTTATTTTTATTACCTTATTTTTAAATCAAAATTTCCGTCTCCGTCATGTTCCATTTGTTTTTTCCCTGTCATAGTTCAATTAATTAATTTATTAATTAATCAATCAGTATCTCCTGAAATTAGCTTTATTTTTTGTTTTCCTTTAGCAAAAAGGGGCAGACATAATCGAGAAGGCGAGCTCTCTTTTGAATCAGGACGCTCAAAATCTCGGACCTGTGATAGTGGAGGAACAATCACGAGAGATTTTAACTGCTTCTTCCAACGTGTTGGAAGCCTCCAAAGAAACTACCTCACCTTACATCGAACAAGGTATACAGTGTGAAACGCTGGTCTTATAAACAAACAAACAAACAAACAAATCAAGAAGCATGCAAGAAAACGGTCATTGAGAATCTAAGGACCAAATCTTGAGCAACATTCTGCTAAATATGTATGTTAGAAGTTAATTACTTTGCATCTCGTTTCCTATTGAGAGCCTGCAAGCTGATGTTAAACAGCAATCTACTGAGCAGAAATTATTGTTTGCTCGTCACGTAATCTTTCCTCCGCCTGATGGAGGTAAGGTTAGGTGACAGGCGCCCCATATAACGAGCGCATTTCGCGCGCGGTTCATGGGCGGGTGGTCAAATTGGGAAGAGGGTTCGCCAAGGCCTCCGCTGGCAAAATTAGGTGTTCGTAATTAATTTTTCAATTTTTTTTTTAAATTGAAGTGTTCGTCTTGGACCTTTCAATTGCTGTTCTGATGTTGGAATAGCTGTTATGACTCAGTGTGCTTTCATTCCCCAGTTATCAAGGAGATATTTCCGACAACCGGTCCGCCACCACGTGCTTGGTCGATTCGGATTAGTTCTCGGAACAATCAACAGGTAATTTAACACGTTATTTTGCTATTTCCTCGTCGAAATGGTTTATGGTCATTACCGAGTAGATCCCAGTCCCTCGAGGGGCATCCTTGCCAGAAGGAATGAACCACTGTGCAGCACCTTACCATGTCCCCTCTAAGGACGCGGATATACCACAGAGGACCCGAACACTGTATCAGTAATAGCACGATCATTTAAAATAAATGTACTGTTATTTACCTGTTTCTATGCCTTTTTGAACCGTTTAGAAGGGATTTGAATAGAAGCGAAGGCGGTTTATATTTCAAATACGCTTTTTNTTATATCAGTTTATATCAAAATGTCATTTACACAGCTGGAAAATCATTCTCAGTTGTTATGTGGCTGTGACTTTGCAAATGAAAGACTCTTGCTCCGCCAATTTGACGTTTAGAGCTCATAATTAACAAAATTAAACAAAGTTACCTAAAATAGCATGACCTAGCTCCTTTAACCCCTAAAAAGTACGACGGGCACCCCTGACCTTTTTACATGGGAGTCTCCCCCGGGGGGTTGAAACCCCAGGTATAATACAGTACCTATACGATGCGCGGGTATTTCCTCATTTTACGTTTCATTCGGTGTTGTTTTCAGGATGCCAAAGATTCGAAAGATGTGGTAGATACGACCTTGAAGGCAATCAACCTCGTCAGTGAAGCAATTCAAAAGAAGAGAGTAGCTAAGGAAGGCGAAACAGTAGTTAGAACAAAAGCGTTTTATATGAATCTGAGGCGCACGCGAAAAAACGCTTTCAACACCTCGGTGTACACCGTCGCGGAGGCGTCTGATGTGCGGGTTAGTCTGCCGAGTCCAAATGTAGTCGTGGAAGACTTAAGCGGCGACGGTCCCATCGACGTCCAGGTAAATATATATCACCAGATATTGTTGTCTATCAATGCGTGCAGAGGATACCAAGTTTTTTTACTGAACTCTTCTTTTCTGTTCCCCCTTCTTTCTAGTATACCTCAATGAAGAATGTTTTCCTCTCAGATGCCATAAATTCGCCGTATATTCAACAGACCCAAGGTTTCGCATTAAAACAAGGAGATAAAGAGATCAAAATTAAAGATCTCTCAGAGGATCTTGAAGTCAACATCCCGACCGATTTAACAAGTACGTCTCAAAGTTACAGTGAGGAATTCATGGCGGAAACCAAGAACAGCCACCGTTTCCGGTTCCCTCCTGACTACAAATACTATCCATTACTAGTTCACGTAAAACCAGAAAACAACAAAACGTTAACAGCCCTTCTTAACATCACTTTTGAAGAGGGTTCTCCTGGCGAGTACGAGCTTAGTTTCTCGCCAAAGTCTGAGGACAAAGACGCGCCATCGTCGCCTTTCCGCAAAGTTGATAATTTCACGTACAGGGCTGAGGAATTACCCTCGAGGCCAGTCTTTTTCAACTTGACCGTCATGGTCACGGGGCCGTTTCCAGAGCGCGAGGTATCCGGCAACGAATCACGTGGAGTGCAGGTGAATTATACTGTAGCCATTTATTCTGCAAGATGCATGTTTTGGAGCATGGAGGAAGGCAAATGGCTCGAGGATGGTTGTAAGGTAAGAAAGTGCCTTCAGTTTTTATTTCTTACACTTGAAATTTATCTCAACGTATTGCTTACTGACTGCGCAAGCTGTGCTGTTCATGGTCAAGCTAAGGTTAAGTTTTACTCGTTGAAGGGTGCATATCCTGCCACTGACATACGTTTGTTTGGAATCTAGTCCCCGGAGTTCTTGTCGCTTCCTGTCTTTCCCGATTGGAAAGGAAAAGTGCCCTGGGGACGAGTTGATTTAGTTTTTCGTGCCCCAGGGTCTGAGATTCCATTCTGATGGGTCTAGTAGCAGCTCTCCAAAGGTCTCACATGAATAGCTCGATACCTTTTAAGGGAACCGGAAAAAANAGAAGAGATTGAGTCAGAATCAGATAAAACAAACAAATAGTTAAATATATTTGGTCAATGCTTTCATTCGGAAACCAGACCTTCTTCAGGGGCTACAAGTTTAGACTGGTCTACTAGAATTCGACTAAACTTGGTCTTGATTTCAATCAGTATCTCAACAAATCATCCATTCGGGATCGAAAACAAAAACACTTTGAGGGCGAAGATCCCGTCTTGTTACATGTGTCAGGCGCGACAACTCCGAAAGCGCTATACCCGCGCTAGTATTTGATTGGATAATCTTGAAGGATACATATCTCTCAGTGCTCCTAATTAAGTGTATTGTTACAGACACTGCATTTATCCCCCACTGAATAATATTAATTCATGTTCTCGCAGGTTGAACGGCTGGTACCGCTGGCTAGTAAAGCTGAACTCACGGAATTTGGCCATCTGTTTGTTGCCAGGACTCGCCGTAACCTCAGCGACAGTCATTTATGGTTCTCAGTCCTTGCTCGTCCAGCTAACAGCCGATTTACGCGAGTACAGCGCTTGTCCTGTTGCCTGTGCCTATTGTTCATGTCAATGATGGCCAGCGGTATGTACTATGAAAGACAAGACGATCCATCGAACGTGCAGCAAATTGGCTCGGTTGTCTTCACGTGGAATCAGGTAAGTTAGCTTTTCGCCCTTGACTGTTGTCTGGTGAGGAAGTATTTTGGTTCCAGTCCATTCCATTTTGTTTCTCTGTTGGCCTTCTGTGACCAGGCAGGAGCGATGGCCTAAAGGTGAAGACATCGGTGAGGATCTAAGTTGGGTCCCTCTATTAAGGCGGGGGTCTACCTGAATCTAAGTGAAGTTTTAGGAAGTTTAAAGAGGGATTAAAAGGAAAAAGTTGACTGTTGAACGCCCCCCGAAACGGCACCCCAGGTTGGTGGAAAACTTTTTGGTGTACGTCTGCCAATTTTTAACTTCAAATTCTAATTTTAAAACAACATTAAATCTTCAAAATTTCCTGTTTCCATAAATTTACTAATCCTTTGAGATTAACTATTTATCCCCAAATATACCCAAAAATCACCAAAAAAATTACAAAACAGCCCAAAACGTAGATATGACGGGTGAGCAGAGAGATTTTTGACTGCTTGAAACGTGAACGAGATATGTGTGTTAAAACCATAATACCCAGCCCAAATACCGCCTTCATGTTAACCCCCGCCTTAAATCCTAGACTGTTCCCAGCCCTTATTGCCTGCTACTTTTTTCCCTCATGATTAATTTACCTCACTGTTGGCCTTTAAAATGTCCCCTCCCCTCCCCTCTATTAACCTTTAAAGTAAGTAAGTGATCACAAAAGTATGTTCCTAAAATTTTCTCCCTAAATTGTGTGCCTTTATTGATCCTTAATCATGTCTCTTTATTAACGTCTAAACTGTACCCCTTTTGTGACCTTAAATTGTGCCCCTTTATAGACCCTAAATTTAGTCCCTTTCAGGGCCCCCGACACAAACCGTTGCTCAGCTTTACTGAGTGAACTATCAAAAACTCATTGTGCTCTTTCCGTTTTTATTCGGTCTATGCAGGTACTCGTAGGAATCATTTCAAGTCTTATCGTCTTTCCAATTAACTTGATCGTGGTACAGATCTTTCGCAACGTCCGTCCAAAGCCAAAAATAAAACCCAAGAAACAACAACTATCGCCGCCTGCTCTGTCCTTCACCGAAGAGAACCTCGAGAACTACAACCAGTTAAAAGAATCGTCGGACGAATCTGCTAAAGGATCAAGCAACAGCCTGGATTCCTCGCGAGAAAAAAACAACAGGACCCGGCTGTCAATCAATGACGTACACACTGACGTAGACCGCGCAAGTTTTACCGATAGTCCGCTGCTAATCGATCGCAGGCTCAGCACCACTTTCGAGATAGGTAAGAGACAGAGTTTTCCCTCTGATTCACCCGAAGTGGAAATGAATGCTGATTTTGTTTTTATTTTCGTGCAGCTCCGACATCTCGTGCACGCCGCTTACTGTTGTGGTTCAAAAAGAGGAATACTCTACCTCACTACTTCGTGTATGTGGCCTGGTTTTTGCTGTTCGTCTTCACCACTGGATCTGCTGCGGTCGTCGTCTTTTACGGCATGGAGCTTAAAAATATCAGGTCCCTTCAGTGGCTGTTTTCGTCGTGTGTGTCATTCGTGCAGGATGTGTTCGTCACACAGCCACTCAAGGTACGAACAAACAGTTTACAAAGAGTTATTGACAAATGAGTTTTTGCGATATGCAAAATCATTAAGGAAAGGTGATTGTTACATTGAACTCAATAGCACAGATACTGGTTTTGGAATGACGCAGATTCCGTTAAGGGTTAGAGAAAAACACCAGCCATAATTCCAAAAAAGACAACGTTTCTATCTCAAAACTACCGCCAAAAGATAACGTTTCTATAACTACTTACAGTGTTTTTACAGATCGTTAGCTTTCGTCCCGGACTGAGAAACTCAACAGTTGACTAACTGTCGTTTTACTGTGATCTTAGGTACTTGGCTTGGCTGTGTTCTTTGCCCTTGTCGTTAAAAAACCTGACAAAGGTGAATTCGAAATCACAGAAGAAGCACTCAAACTTGCTGAGGACGAAGAATTTATCCAACAGTCTGGTGCGAATCCGGGCGAGGCAAGGAGCAAGAAAACAACGCTTCTACCTCCCGATCAAGCGAAACTAATCGCCATGAGAGCAGCCAGAATGAAGGAACGAAAAATGTATTCTGTCATCCGTGAAGTCGTGACCTTCTACGTATTTCTGGCTCTGCTGCTGATGATTGCGTATACTCACCGCGACCAGATTGCTTACCATCAGACTCAAAACCTTTACAACGTGATAGGCGGCGGGGACTTTTCCAATGTGAGTATTGAACATCACGTTCGAGCCGGCGCTGTCCGGCTTCACTGGAAGCTGAATCCAAACGGAGAAGGAAGAGTACACTTGTTTTACCCCGATTTTAATTTTACGTCATTTATCGAAATAACGCTATGACATGATTTCTTCAACGCTCGTATATTGCTTTCATAATTAGTTACATTGAGATCTTCTTCAGACTCATTCCACTAACTGAGGCGTTTGCATGATTTCTTTGCTGCGTGGTAAATTCTAGCGATTCACGTGAGACCAAATCGATTGGACGTAAAAAATGTAAAAAAAAAAGAATGTCAGTCTTATTCATAGTGATCATGCACTTAGCTATACAAGCACTAAGCTTAGCTAGTTGACAGTCATGTCACTGAAACAAAGGTTCATTGCTTGTAAGGCGAGGACCTAATTTTCACCCTGTTTCCTGAACAGTTAACCAACGAGAAAGAGTTCTGGAATTGGTCTCGCACTCAGTTCTTGGACGGATTGTTCCCCAAAACATGGTACAATGGCCAAGCAAGAAATCCCGACGGATTTATGGCTGATGGCTACAGTCAGATGGTAGGAGCAGCGAGGATGAGACTCGTCAGAATAAAGAAAGGTTAGTTTGTCACGAGAAAACATCAGAAAAGGCGAAACAGGGTTTAACTAGCATTCATTTGCAAGATCCAACTGATTCCAAGCTCTAATTGGATATATTATTCCGAATCCAACAGTAAATAATGGTAATAAGACTGAGTGGAGTCCAAATTTCATCATACGACTGCATGACTTGCAAAAATTGGCCGAAAACTCCGTGGCGGAAGTTAGTTTTCCTTAAACAACCTCTTTTTTTCAGTACTTGAGCAAGGAAAATAAAACATTTCATGCAACTGTTCTTTTGGGGTCCTCTATCCTCTTCCCTACTGCATATAAGATCCCTTTGTTTCACTCAAATAGTTGCCAATCAATATGTTAACTAGAAGAAGATTACATGGCCATAATCTTTAATGTTATCTCGTAATCTCATTTCCAAACAATTTTAATGCCGCCTAAAAAATGAATCGTCCCTAATATAGGCTCCATCAATTATCAGCCCCAGTCACCCAACCCCCAACCCAAAACCTTGCTACGATATTGGCTTCGGTCAATAAACCCAAGGGCTTATAATTGCATTTTACGGCAACTCGTAGATTAATGTCTAGATGTACAATGACCGGCCATCTCGACATTTTTCGTTCCCTAGAATCCTGCGAAGTTCCAACAGAAGTGTACGGTATCACTAAAGAATGTTACGGGGAATACTTCATTACTAAGGACGATAAGAATGATTACACGGAGGGATGGGAAAACATCACTACTTACAACACCGAAATATCATGGGACGACATGCAATGGCGGTATCAGAATGCTTCTCAGCTAGATGGGTATCCCTTCTGGGCCCAGCTGAACACCTACAGTGGAGGAGGGTAAGTGATGTTTTGATATACTATCAAATTGTCGTCACTATCACCGAAAGCTTACATGCTAATTTGTTCAAGTCTGCATGCGAGCCAAGTGGCTCATCAGGCCGGAGCTTATCCCGGTTTCTGTAGTATGAAGCGACCAGGAGTAGTTCTACTTCTCCCTGGATGGGATGCTAGTCCATCGCAGGGTTACACCCCAGCATTAAGTTCGCCGGTACCCATTTATCCACTTGGGTGTGGCACTGTGACAGAGTAGTGTCTTGCCCAAGAACACAAGTCAATGTTCCCCGGCCAGGGCTCGAACCCGGACCGCTCGATCCGGAGACGAGCACACTAACCATGAGGCCTCTGTGTCTCTCACATAGTACTTCCTGATTGGAAAGGAGAATTATCACTTTAGCAGTTCAGCGTTGCCAAGCGACATATTTTTTTAAAACGATTCTTGCTATACGAAACAGCAGGGAGAAGACGCGAAGTGGAACAATCAATAATATCATTTTGAAGGGGAAAACTAGTATACCAGCATCGGCTGTAAAACGACAATGAAAACTGAAGATGAGAGATGAAGATGACATTTTCAGGTATCATGGTAGGTAAATTTTTACGAAAAGTGCAAAAAAATCTTTTTTTGCTTTACAAATTGAGAAGACTGAGATAAAAATTTTGCAAAAAGAATGAGAAAAAAGTTCTTTTACTTTTTAAGATAAAGAGAAAAACTATTTTTGAATCTCATTAACCCCTTACGGCGCGTTGACACCTCTAATCAAAATTCACCGCCAGTTGTCACGTGAAATGCGAATTGCGGTGTGATATTTCATCTCTGCACACGAACTCTTCTCGATCTGGTTTTTTCATCGCAAGCATCAGGACGAAAGCGCAAGAAAACTTCTTGCCCATTTTTTTCTTCGAAGAAGCCCAAGAGGCAAAAATCCAGTAGTACCCAGTAGTTCAGCGTCGAACAAGATCTTTGGCCCTCAGCGACCGTGGGTCGCTCTGTAACCAAGAAGAATGGTTGAAGGAACTCGAGGACACTAGTCCCGCCATTGAAGCTGAAGGACAAACTACAACAAGTGCTAGTTGCACGAAATTGCTGGAGAACGGACGCGATTCCGACCTGTGGGCCGAGAATTTCGATCGCATCAACAGCAGTCAAGCCCCCAAAGCTTGGGATGACATCGCCAAGCAAATAAATATGAAATTTGGTACTGACAATTATCTACCACTAGTGCGACCCTCCGTTTCTGTCTAAAAGGTTTTCTTTCCGGTTGCGGTTTCAAATCTTTGTGTTTTTTAGCCGGCAAAGATTAAAACTTTTCCCAAATGCGACCCATACCTTAGTCGCGCCGCTCCGATAATTCATGCGCGGAAGCGAACCAGTTTAAGGGAAACAGTGTTTCTGGGTATTTCTTTTAATATCACTGCGACAAAAACTTTTCAGAAAATTTCAAAGATATGATTGTATTTTATAACTATTAAGCTTTCAGAAAATGTGTAGGTTGATGGAATGTTTTTTTCAAAGCGCCAGCGTAAGAGCGCGATTTCTAAACACTGTTAATCCACCTACCATGATACCTTCACACCCGAGCGATACAATAAGAGAGCTGTTTGAAAAGGAATCATTAAATAATTCTTAACAACAACAACAAGGTTTATTTGAACTGTAAAATTAATTTTATTACTAATTAATAAATTAATTAAAAGTACATACAGTTGCTGGTCACCCAAAATAACTAAAGATCTAAACTAGGTGGGTGACCACCAAATGAAAATAAATATAAGGTCAGAAAAGAGGCATTTCACATTTTTTTAGTTCCTTGCTTATGCTCAAAAGAGTAGACCTGATCCAAAATGAAGTAAGAACCGTCTGAAATAGGAAATACCGAAAAACCATGAGGTACACAATGGAAAAGCACTTGAGGTTTTCCTCGCAAATTTCATTGCTTTTTGTGACTCGTTGGTAGTCAAGTGAACCACATGCTGTGCAACGCGAACGCAGTTTTTCTCTAGGGTCGTAACAGCTGTTAGCAGGCGTTGCTGGAAAATATCTTTCTGAATTTAATATACAAGCGCACAACCTTACAGACCTTCCAAAGGAATTATTTTGCTTTTCTGCTAAGTGAAGTTTTTCATTTTGATGTATCATTTCACTGGCATAACGTTTTGTTGTTTCTTCTTGCAGCTACGTGATCGTCCTTGAACCTGGCATGGAAAATCGCGACCGAATAGAAAAACTCCAGAACGATCTTTGGATCGATCGTCACACACGCGCCATCTTGACAGAGTTCACCATCTACAACGCACAAAGCAACTTGTTCTGCATTATCACGCTCGTGGCAGAATTTCCCGCCACTGGCGCCATCATACCCTACGCTAGTATCCTGACTGCGCGCCTGTACGACTTCACTAACAACATCATGTTCTTGGTTCTGGCGTGCGAGAGCATATTTGTGATGTTCATCCTGTTTTTCACGTATCGTGAAGTCAAGCGCATTTATAAAACCGGCATCCAAGCTTATCTCAAAGAGTTTTGGAATTGTGTTGAGTTAGGCATCATCTTGTTTACCTTCGCAGCCATAGTGCTATACGTTTATCGCGCACTCACAGTCAGAAACGTCCTAGATCTAGTGCGACAGGATCCATTCCACTTCAAGAGCTTTCAGTTCGCGGGGTACTGGGACGAGACCTATACGTTCATCTTGGCCATAATTGTCCTCCTTGCCAACATAAAACTAAACAAGCTGCTCCGATTTAACAAGCGCTTCTCTCTATTGTCATCCACGCTCAAGTACGCTTACTATCCTTTGCTGATGTTCAGTATTGTCTGGGGCATTGTCTTCACCGCCTTCACGCTGGTCGCCGCGTTGGTTTTCGGACCCGTACTGCATAGCTACCGCAGTGTGGTCGCCTCGCTCACGTCCCTCCTGAGCCTGATGCTGGGAAGGACGGCCTACTTTGAGATGCGCGACGCCAATCGCATTCTTGGTCCCCTCTTCTTCTTTGGGTTCATGTTCATGATGTCATTTGTCCTCATCAACATGTTTCTGTCCATAGTGGTGGATTCCTTCCGCGTCGTCAAACACGACAATGACAAGCAATCGAATGAATACGAGATCGTCGATTTCATCATCGAGCGCTTTAAGCTTTGGTCGGGAATTGGTAAGACGCGAAGGCCGCACAGTCGCGGACGTGTTCTTTGGGACACAGCGGCGAATCGCGTCAAGGCCGTCAACGTGTTGGGCAGAAAACGCCACTCTCTCATGATCACAGGTCTGCACGAGGACACAGTCTCAGAGCTCGAGAACCGACTTGAGAAACTTATTGACCGAACTGATGTGTTGTATGAAGAACTTTTCCCTGAAAAGAGATACAAGATTCCCGGAAAGCGTGGTGGCGGTGACAAGAAAGAAAGAAAACCCGTTTCTAAGGCAGATCTACTTGAGGGACAAACCGGCTGATAGCGGGAACTTTATATTCAGGGGACTCCACAAGGGCGGGTTTTTGTGTAAGATATCAACAGTTCTACTTAACGCGTACTTTAAATGTAATTAAGAATTCAGACAGATTCACATTCATTCCCAGGCTTTTGTTCAAGACGTTAGTCTCAGAAACAATCCCAGCCTAATCTCCAGGGTTTCACATTCTAATTCGAAATGGCGCGATAGCGCAAAACTCGCACAATAATTAATATCCTTGGAGAAGGTTGGGGATGGCACTGTATAATGAGATCTGCGAGACAGATCTAGCCTAGTAATCTGCGCCAAATGATTAAATCCAAAAGCGCCGCTTTTCTATTATTTAATTAAAGTTTTTGAGAACGATTGGACTATCTGCACAGATCACTGTATCGAGGCTCTTCATGCACAATTGAGAGAGTCTGCATGGTTTGTTTGGAATCTAGTCCCCGGAGTTCTTGTCGCTTCCTGTCTTTCCCGATTGGAAAGGAAAAGTGCCCTTGGGACGAGTTGATTTAGGTTTTGGTCCCCAGGGTCTGAGATTCCATTCTGATGGGTCAGCTGCACGTAGCAGCTCTCCAATGGTCTTACATGAATAGCTCGATACCTTTTAAGGGAACCGGAAAAAACATCAGAAACAATGATCACATCTGCTACAATAATAATGTAGCAGATGTTAATGTAATGCGCTAGAAATAAATTATTATTATTATTATTATTATTATTATTATTATTAATAGTAGTAGTTTACGAGAGCTACTGCATCTTCTATTTTGATAGGACTCAAGGTTATTCCCGAGCCATAATTCTTATGTTCCCTCTGACCCATAATAAATTACATCTCCTGCATGATACTTCCTAATATATCATAAAAAATGTTTTTGAGTGATAATTTTTCTCTTTTTGTTTTCTCATCAGGTTGGCGAGCAGACCTCGAGTCAGGTCACGCAGTGTCGGTGCAACCACGCCACTTTTTTTGGCTCCCTTAATGTGAAACCTAATCCAATTGGGCCCCCATCATTTACCAAGTTTAAGGAAGGGTATGCCATGCTGGTGTTTGTAGGCGTCATCTTCTCGCTTTATTTTGTGGGCCTCGTTTGGGCGAGACGAAAAGACAGAGCTGACGTTATCAAGGTAAGTGACTGCTAAGGGCCTGGGTGCTTGAGAACAGCGAAGAAGTGGATTACACGACAGTATTTTCGTTCGCGATCTGCTAGATAGTTCACTTTGATGTCTTTATATTTGAATATTTTGAAAGTTTCTTTTGATTTTCCTTACTGTTCTGCGACTGCACGCTGTGTTGTGAGGTACCTGGGCTGTTTACGTTACGTTGTAGGGCACCAGTGCATTCTATGCCTTGGGGTATCTATGCATTCTACTAGTTACAGATGATTCACTTGGTTTGGGCGAGAATGATCACTAATGCAGTAATTAAAGTCGACGACAAGGACGGTGAATAACGTTAAAAATTTTCAGAGAACTAGTGAAACGCGTGAAAACTGCGAAATAAAGACACTCACGCCAAGTGCCTTTTGTTCTAGGTTGGTGTTTGTCCGTTGCGGGATAATGACCCGACAGACCCGTACCGCTACGAGCTGACCCTGTGGACGGGCATGCGTCGTAACGCTGGCTCCAAATCTAAAGTCAGCATCATTTTGTACGGTGACGAGCAAGACAGCGAGGCAAGGGCCCTGGAGGATCCCGACAGAAATCCTTTTCAGCGTGGGAGCCAAGATACGTTCCTTCTGACCACGCCCTTTGACCTGGGGTCGATTCAGTACATCAGGATCTGGCATGATAACACAGGAGGCTCGCTGTTCTTAAGCCGTATCATGGTGATTGATCTGCAGACAGATGAGCGCTATTACTTCATCTGTAACAGGTGGCTTGCTGTTGACGAGGAGGATGGGCAGGTTAGTTATGGCTGAAAACTGCTAAGAACGAACAAAATTGCAGCGACTAGCTAAAGAAGAGCCCGGGTCTGAGGTAAAATTGGACCCAACTGCTCAAAGAGTGGATAATGCTATTGACTTGCTCTCTCCTCCGCAGAGGTTCGAACGTTCGTTATAGAAATCCGCTGTGCGAGGTGAATGCAGGCGCAAAGTCGACTCNCGCTTATTGACAATGAAAATTAGCCAATGAGCGCGCGAGAATTTCTGCAGTTATCGTAAAATACAAAATCAATCTGCCATTCGGCTCAGCGTCTAACTGGTATCTGGAAGGTCATGGGTGCCACTCACGTTGAGTGGCAATAAATTCGACTTGAGGGAGGCCTTGGTCCTTTTCCTTGTCGACTACTTTCAACCAAGTCACTACTCTACTTATCACCTCCAACTGCCTCCAAGGGTGATCTATTTCAACTTTTCTCAATTGGCACACATTAGGGATCTTCTGGGGATCTTTAGGGTACGTTTTAGGGCATGCTGCAAACAATCAGATCAAAATGGATCTGGTCCAAAATGATTTCGTTCTCTCAGGACCTGCTCTCCATACCCCTACCCTATACCCCCGTATGCCCCCAGGGCCTCGATCCGGTCCGAGCCTTGGGCGTATTGGTCGCTGGTCTTTAGAAAATGGTTCAGTCCTGACTACAAAGGATATAGTGCAGATTGATTGAACTACTCCGATGTTCTTTATAGAGTCAACCAAATTCTAGTTTTCCTCTTAAATACACCTTAAAATGACCAGTTTCGTTTGCATACAGATTGCGAAGCCTGTGCACTTGGTCTCTCTTGTTAGACCTTGTTATTCTTTTCTTGTCAGCGGTTATTCAAAAAGCGGTAAATACAAAGATGGCGGCCAGTCACCAGGTAATTATTCTCATCAGAAATTTGGTGATTGTAGCCAAGTTATTTCCATTTGGAAAGCAGACCTAGATAGAGAAAACTTTTATTTTGATGTATTTTAGGACCAGATCTATCAAAGGCGGCTTGAACTTCATACAACGGTGTTTGCAGTGGCGTTCTCTCCTTGTGGCAACTATTTGGCGGCATGCAACAACTTCGGACAAATTGCTGTTTTTAGGTATTTCTTGTTTAAAGTTTTAAGCCTTAATTTTATTAGGATACGTAGAAATTTCTTAATCAAACACCTACAACATATGGACTTTGAAAGAAAAACAGAACAGAGAGAAAAGAAGAAAGAAGAACAGAATAGAGAGAGAGAGAGTCAGAATGTGAGGGGTGGAGGTTGTGTGGTTAAGAAGTGTAAATTTCTTCAAAGTTTGTAATTAGTTTAGTAGCAATTAATATTTAATTTTAATAAGTTTATTTATTTATTTATTTATTTATTTATTTTAAAACATAGGCTAAAGACAACTCAGCACTATTAATAGCTGTTTGCTTATTGTTTTGTTTTTAGTATTGTTTCTACTTTGGCACCTGATGCATCTTCTGACAAGAAAAGACCCATAATATTTTTTCAGGGTGAGCATCTCTTTTCATGGTTATCATAGTGTAAACTAATGTTTATACCGTTGCACAGAATAAACAATCAACCAACAAACATTAACACTTTACATTTGACACAT